CCACACAAAATGTGAAAGCCGCTCCAACCAAACAAATCATCAAAAAGCAATGCAACGCAGGAGTGTTAGTGAGAGGAGTGTTGTCATCAATATCATTATTTAACTACCATCACTTCTCACAAGCTCACTGGTGAAGCCTGTAGCGCAGTGAGAACATGTGAAGAGTTTCTGCAGAGAGGCACAAAGATGCTAGACAAAGCAGGGGAGCAATTCATTCATCTGAACTGGTCCAGATGAAAAGATTAGGCAGACTTACTACGGGTTTGACAGATACAGAAACTTTCTTTCTGGGGCATTTGATTCGCTGATTACAGTTGGAAAGTAAATATATTTTTAATAGATTTATATTTTAATAAAACTTCTTTAACAAATTGCTTAGCTTTGCTTTAATCCTACAAATTCAAATGTTTAATTGGTTGGAAATCTGTAAAACTTGGGGGTTATAATTTTTCTAAGCAGTAACATCCACTCCTCTGGTTTCAGGCTTTTCAGACGGTTTTGGAACCTGACTTTTTCCTTCATACTCAATGAAAATGTTAGCATCCATTATCTTTAAATTCACCAATATTCAGCCAACAAATCTTTACCAACACAACCACATGGACAAAAGCCACTTTTTTTGCATTCGCCTCTCGGTGACATTTGCTCCATTTGAGAGAAAAAATTTATGATTCACCGTTTCCTCTGTGAAAGGGAAAGTCTCAGTCACCAGAAGGGCACAAGAAATGTCAAATACAGCTCATTCTGTTTTGAAAGGGCTGAAATCTGCTGCAGGAACCCAACTCTGCTGATGGAGGATGAAGAAAAGGGGGAAAAGATGAAGAAGAGGGAGGAACTGTATTTGGCTCTGATGTTTCTGCTTCTGGAAGATCTCCTGGGACAGAATCAAAACCTGCCTCTCTTGAATCCCCCCCTCACCACGAGGTGACGGGTGACCACTCGCCCCCCCAAAGAGCCCGCCACATGAGAGTGAGGAAGAGGAGAAATGATGGAAGATAGAGGAAGGGCGAGCACATTGATGGCTGGAGTGATGATTTCCTTCACACACACATACACCCAGACACAAATGCCCCCACTCATCCTCACACTTCCTCCCACCTCCCCTTGGCCCTGCAGGCAACACACACACTTTCTCTCTCTCTCTCTAACACACACACACACACACACACACACACACAGAGCATGGTTAGGCCTCCAATTAAATCAAAAGTGGTTTGTTTTTATTGGTCTTTTGCGCTGACAAGTGGGCTATCATTCTGACGGCTCTACCTGTCAGTGAGCAGCTGAAAATCCTCCGTTGACAATGCCCAATGCTTCCAATTAGGGGAGAATCAGACTCCTGGCGCGCTAGCCATCTTTCCACCCTCCCCCCCAGGCCCACCTTCCCTTCCTTTTTTCCCCCCCTCTGCACTCGCTCCTCTACCATTCCCCTCTCACTCTTCCTCTCCTCCACACTATCTCCCTCACCCTCCTCCTTCCCCTCTCTTTTTCCTTCTTCTTCTTCCTCCCTCCTCTCTCCAGGAGAAGGGGGTCTGTCTCCGCTGCAAATTACCGACACAAAACGAAGGTGGTGGCGGCGCTGGCGCAGGGAGCTGCCGGTCCAGGGCCCTGTCAGCATTAATGAGACGATGAAGGTTTATTTCGCCCGCATGCATGTGCTAAATTCTTTCTTGTGTGACAGCTGACTGCGAAATGTGAGTGTTAACCTTATAAAAGATTCAGCGGGTTCTCATTATTTTCTGTCAACTCCACTACCTGATGGCGTTAAGGTGCATCATTTGCATCCCTGACTGGTCCAGGGTGCAGCACCAGCTCCAGAGCAAGAGCGTTTTTCCCTTTTTTCCCCCCCCTCCTCTCCTGCCTTTTTCAGCGCTGTTTGTTTGTTTAGAGGAGTCATCTTTTTACATATATCCGCCTCCAAAGACACGCTTTCCTCGATGTTCCGAAACGACAGAGATGCCAAAGTTTATTCAAAGGCGACACACATTTTTACAAAACATATCCAGATATATATTTAACACAGCTGCTCAATTGAGCAAGTAAATCAAATGTTTGTTTGTTTTTGGTTGTTGTTGTTTTTTTTCCTCTCCACAATAAATCCAGCACACTGAGGAGGCCCAGCAGGCATTATTAGGAGTTAAGTTTATGGAGCGGATTCAATAATGCAGGAAAAAAATGGAATAAGAACAAAGTAAATAAAATGTCTACAGATGCATTATAAGCCCTGGTGGGTCAGTGAGAACTACTATTTGGTAAACCTTTTTTAAATTATAGTTTATCTTATTAAGGCTTAATGACATCATGGTTTATATTACATTTCTTCTAGCAAGTTCAGACTTAAACTACTGTAAATATTGGCTCTAAATACACAGAGTTAGCTTTCAGACCAGCCAGAGGAAAAACAGGCTACACTTCCATGAAAATGGCCCAAGGGTGCCAACTTAGTTTTGGTAGAAATGTTAGTGGATGGTATGTGTGTGTGTGTGTGTGTGTGCGTGTGTATAATGTGGATCAATAATAAAGTTTTATTCCAACATCTGATAAAAACAGACAGCAGCTCACTGACCATTTCCTGCAAACATTCCTGTCTCCTCTCTTTAACATGGATCAATAACACCCTCCCGCAGCATCACTAAGAAAGTGAGGGTGTGTGTGTGTGTGTGTGTGTTCTCATCATTTGTGTAACAGTTTCAGTGGTGCACAACGCCAATCACAACCTGGAAAAAAGGGTTGAAGAAAAAAACTGAGCCACCCTTGACCAGAGAGACATTGTCCAAATCAAATTATGCAGCAGCAAATCATTGCATGCACACATGCACGCACACACACACGCACGCACGCGCGCGCGCGCACACACACACACACACACACACACACACATATTCTACACACAACAATACACTCACACAGAAGTACAACACTAAAATCTAGCTGTATTCTTCTGATATAAAGAAACATTTTTCAGATGTATGGGGCATTGTAACCTTTAGGAGTGACATCTGTAACTAAAAGTGTTTAAAAAATTAAAATCTGTTTGAAACCATATTCATATTTGTATTAGAAATAAGGACAATCAAACTAAATGAATTGTTCAGATCAGTAAGGTCTAGGACTGTTTTATGTAAAGTGTCATGATGTCACTTTGGCTGTATCTGGTGTTATAAATGGAAATTTCTTTAAGTAATGTTTCTTACAACTGTCAAATAATTTCTTCAGTGTGAGTATTTGCTGCTTTTTACTGTAATCATTTGTATTTCAAATATTAATCCATAATAACTGCACCTTAGTTTTTTCCAACTTTTTTTTACAATTTAAAGAAAAAACAACTATTAAAAAATTAAATTTGAACATGTAATTATAATAAAAAATCCTTGAGTTTTAGTCATTGTGTGAAATAATTTATTATTTAACAAAATCAGAAAAATAAGCATGCTTTGGTATGCGTTTTATGTTTATTTATCAGAATCATAATGATTGAAAATGATAGGCATCTTCTAGTTGTTTAATCTCAATTTACTCATTAGTTTTACTGACGTTATAGACGGGGATCTGGGTAAAATAAGAACATAAACTCTAAAGCAGTGTGGGTATTTAGGAATTAAAATTAAATTCAAATACATTTCAGAGTTTTAAGGTATTTTATGAAGTTAAAAAACCCAGAAAGTTTCGCATGACTAGTCTAACGATGACGATCAGGAGGAGGAAGGATCCAGTTTAAACCTCTTCCCATTTATTGACTCCAACATTACTGCAGACAGAGGACACGCGGCCCTGGATGAATAAAGAGAGGAAGACAAAAAACAAAAAAAAGCTATAGAGAAAGCATCAAACCACTGCTGCTTTTCATGCACCAGCAGAGGAGAAAGAAACAGCTAAGTCAGGGTGGGTGTGTGTGTGTCGCCTTATATCTGTGTTGTCCCCGCCTCACATGTGACAGCTTGCAGCCGTGATGGGACCCCATGGGAGCGGGGAGCGGATTCACTAACCTGCCGGTGTCTGAGACCGACGCGCGCCTCCAATCTGGTGGTCACATGGGGTGGAGGAGGAGGAGGGTGAGATGGAGGTGGAGGGGGAAGTGGATGATGATGCGAAAGGGGTTATTTAGATTATTAGAGGCTGTCGGGGCCGCTACAAGGGGCAAACTGTAGCTCAAAGTGCACACAATGGTATTTAACGCATGTTAAGGTGAAAAAGTGCGCACAATGGCAACTCACGCGCCGGGAAGTTTTGCGTCATGCTGCTCGGACTATTGTGCACGATTACCAAGGACTATTATTTAGTTATAATGCATGAAAAGTGACGACTCTTTACGTCATTTTTATTGTTCTAAAACATTCTTCTTTGTTGTATTTTGCAACCACACATGTTGGATCTAAAAAAAATTACACAGAAATATTCTGCTTGGATAGTTTTTATTTTATTTTGAAGTTGACATTTCTAGAAAGAAAATCTAAATGTTGAACAACAAAAACAAACCCATATAGCTTCTTATACGGAAAGCAAGACCAAGAGCCCTATAGAGCCTAATAATAATAACAATAATAATAATAATAATAATAATAATAATAATAATAATAATAATAATACGATAATAATAATAATAATAATGATAATAATAATAATTAATTTTATAAATTAATTTGGCAATACTGAAACATGTGAACCTTAACTGTTTATCTTTGTATAATCTGTTTAATCAATAATAACGAAATACATGAAAATAAAATGCTACAAATAAAATGTTTTCATGATTTTCAAAAGTAACAATTGAGAGAAAATCTGTAAAAACAGGAGCTGCGGAGGTGAGGAACAGTCAGAGACGGGGAGTGGAGGAGAAAAAGAGCGAGCCGCTCCACATAATAACCCCATTATAAGCCTCATCAATGATGTAATGAAAGCAAACAGTGTGAAAATTGCCTGTAAACAGTTGGATCTGAGTCTCCTGATGAATTCAGTGTCTCTTTTATCAAAGTGAGGATGAGCCAGGGAGAAGAGGAGAGGATGGGAGGGGGGAGAGAGAGTGGGCGTGAAGGGAGGTCCACTTCCAGCTTCCCTCAGCCAATGAAGGCTTGTCACAGGGGACTCACGTGGACGAGGCGCTCTTAAAACCTAGCTCCTGACTTTTCCTCAAGTTCAATTTTTTGGGATTCCCTCTCACCCCCATCACATCCCGTCCTTTTACTTGCCAGTTGTGACTATTTAACCCAGTTTACCTCTCCTTTTCTCGCCTGCTCGCGGCGCGCATCGCTTCGTCCCACGTCTTCCGCTTTCTCTTCTTTCCGCTGCAGCTCTCGGACTCCCTCTCACTCTCTCACTCTCTCACTCTCTCTCTCTCCCTCTCTCTGTGCTCCGAGTTTTTGAGGTTTTGTTCATCTTCTGTAAAGAATGCGAACAGTTTTTGTCCGTTGTCTGAGTGCTTACATGACGAGCTGCCTTCTACATTCTCCTCCGCTCCTCTGTACCTGTCCATGGTGCTGAAAGGCAACGGTGCGCTGCTACTCCTCCAAAAAACATCCTCAAATAGACATTATTTCTACATCTTTTCTCGTCCTGCAGGTGAGATACATTTATCTACAACAGGCTCATCTTCCAACCAAGGCTTCTGAACTTAAAGCAGAAGGAGTTTGTCCCTAAGAAATAATCGATTGTGACTCTTCAAAAAAAGAGTACAGCGGCTGCATCGCTTTCACGAGGACTCATCTTTTATCCGACAGAAAGAAGAACAATCGGATGGACGGTTGTTGTAACGCAACTTAGACTGGAGATATTCTCTGTTTGAGGAAGAGGAAATAGCGGATGAATTATCTTTAATTTTGACGTATCCAAAAACATTTAGGCTACTTGGTGCGGGGGGAAGTGGGTACTCCTTCTCTTCTGCTGGATCAACAGAGACTTCAACACCCTTCTCACCACCAAAGTAAAACTTGTCCTGAATACCAAATGGTTGTTTGAGGAGGCCCCGATCAAGACAATGGAGACGTCCGCCAACGGGTCCAGTTTCGGCATTGACTCGCTGCTGTCCCACAGGCCGGGAAGCCCGGTGTCCAAAGGGGACAGTCTGGTGGGTGAGTGCCGCTCGCCTCTGGAGTTCAGCCCGAGATCAGACGCGGAGTCCGGCTGCTCGTCGCCTCCGTCTCCGAGGAGGGAATGTGTGGATGAGATGGCCCAGAGGCAAGGTCACGGTGTGGGCCTGCCGCCGCACCTGCAACACGCACAGATCTCGGCGGGGTCGCAGCAGAGGACCGTGACCTCGTCGTTTCTCATCAGAGACATTCTCGCGGACTGTAAGCCTCTAGCCGCCTGCGCGCCCTACTCCAGCAATGGGCAGCCGACTCAGGAGGCAGGGAGGCTGGTGTCCAAGATAGCGGACGACTTTATGGAGAAAATCCACAGCAACTCGTCGTCAGACAGCGAATATAAAGGTAAGAAAAGAAAAGTGTGTGCAGACTGAGTGAGGGAGGGGATCTGCTCTAGAGATCAGATTGGAGGTGAAACTGATTTGGCCTTCTGGACTTTTGGCTTCTGTACAAAAAAACACTGTGTCACCTAAAATGTGGTTTGTTGTTTTGTCTGAAGCTGCTTAAACTTTTTCCCCCTCAAGTTTAAATATTTGCATTTTGTTCAGATGCATCTTTATGCTTGCTGCGTGTTTTTTTTTAATATCTGCTTTAAATCTCTAATTCGGACGAACCTCATTAAACACGAATTCAGTGATGAATTAAATATCATAGACAGGTCTGGTACCAAATGTATGATACAATCTGGAAGTACAGATGAAGTTAGAGCAGCAATAAATTAAATTGCAATGAAAGGCAAACTGCTATACAGAAAATTATTTAATTATTGCTCTACTGAAAATACATTTTTGAAAATAGTTTTCAAAATTATTGAAATTATTTAACAATAAATAAAAAAAAATGTGCAGTTGATTTATATATTTTCAGATTGTTCATTTTAAAATATATTTTGCAACTTGGGATTTTGATCCAAAAATTGGAAGGAAAATAAAAAAATATATAAAATATACATTTTGATATTTATTCACAAACTGACATAATATTTAAATAGCAGCAGGCCAATAAATGCAGCTGATGTATCACGTTTGTGTAAACATGAGGGTTATGCCTGCACAAAGACGAGCTAATATGTTTACTATTAAGTTTTTAGATTTAAATTCAACATCTGCCCGCTCATTCCAAGTATTATCAGAATATCCAGAAAGCATCTGTTGATGTCAGTTAGGCAGGGACGGGAGAGATGACAGGGTCGCCTCCAGATAAATGCCATCAAGGGCCTTTCTGTTTCCAATCATGTCAGCCATAACAGACATGTCACCTCCATTGACAGTTTAATGAAGCAGCGCCTGGAAGCACGTGGACCGCTGCAGGCTGCGAGGAAAATATACAACTTAGATTTTAAACACATGAAGATTATTGTCAATATTTGTTTTAATTAAATTGGTGTTTTGTTTTAACCACTCCAAGGCTCATAATAGTTGTCTATCCGGCCTCACTCGTAATTTTTGTTATCGATACGGCTTCGCGTCATCAATTTGCTCCACAGTTTTAGTGTGTGCATGTGACTGCGTGGCTGGAGATGTTCATCAACGCGCTGATTGATTGAAGAAGCCGCGGGGCCCACAGAGCGCCTGTACGGCAGCTTTGATTTCACCCAATCCGCCTCCTATAATATTTCAGGGATTTGATGCAATTTGTCCCCGGCGCTAATCAGATTTGTAAGCCTGCGAGGCCGCCCGGCTCTTGATTTCCACTCATTTCCACGGTCCTGTGAAGTTCCTCCGGTCGCGCTTGAAAAGGCTCGTCCTTCCCTTGTGGCTCAATTAGGCGGATTATTGTGCTTCTTGAGACGACTCAACTATTCAACTACCAAAGATCCCTCGCCTCGCTTGTTTCTCTCCCCCCTTTTTTTCTGTTCTTTTTTTCTTTTAGAGAATCGACTATAAGGAGTATATATCAATGCTCGCCCTGACATGACACCATGCGCTAAAAGAACAAAGACTGAGGCTTTACTGAGGGGAGAAATATCAGATTGAAAGTGTTAATATTGGAAAAGCTTTTCAGAACAATTTAACATTAAATCAAATAGCTCCATATAGCCTATAGGCAAAGTTCCTGGCGCCGTGATTTAACTCAGCAGTCTGAAACTGTCAGTTCATCTCAAATAAAAAAGAAGACGCTATAAAAGCAGCATGCTACTAAAGTAAACAGAATACTTAAAAAAAAATGTATGTCACAAACAACGTTTTTCACTTTCTTTAAAATGAGCTTTTAGCAGACAAGCTGTGACATTGATTTACGTTGAATTAAAAAATACAAATTGAAACTCGCGTTTTATCAGTGGGTTTACTCATTTTTATTATTCTGATGTAAAAACAAAACAATTTTAAAATGAGTGTATTTTAAAGCTGCTTGGTCACATCTTTGTTGGGGTGCATTTTATTTTCTCTGCTATCCCATGTTAATTAATCAATCAGTCAATTAAGCTTGCCTTAGAGTAAAGCGCACAATAAGCTATTTCTAATTTAAAGGATAACACAAAGAATGTGAGACTTTAGACATTACGTTTTGTGAATTTGAAATCGATTTAGTTTGTTTAAACTGGAGATATATATTTTTGTTGTTGATATTTTAACCTTGATTCATCGTAGTAAGCACTTTCTCACAAAGGAAAAGCTAAAGCGCACAAATTGCACATTTTCAATGAGGCTGTTTTTAGGTCATGTGTCTCATTTAATTCTGCTGCACAGATTTGTATTTTTAATCACGACTCTTTGTGTCGAGGTTTCACGACCACACAGAGATATATTTTTGTTATTTTGAGGCCTTTGTATTCAACTTCTCTTCTTTTTGTCTCTTCTTGTGCTCAGTGAAAGAGGAGGGGGACAGGGAGATCTCCAGCAGCAGAGACAGCTCTCAGGTCCGGCTGAAAAAGCCCAGGAAGGCCCGGACGGCCTTCACAGACCACCAGCTGGCCCAGCTGGAGCGCAGCTTCGAGCGCCAGAAGTACCTGAGCGTCCAGGACCGCATGGAGCTGGCGGCCTCACTCAACCTCACCGACACACAGGTCAAGACCTGGTACCAGAACCGGAGGTAAAGACACCCCTGATGCTACTAAAGAGGGAGGGGGAGAGGAGGAGGAGGGGGGGGATGATAATCTGGTTTCTCATTGCTGTCTCATGTATTTGAACCAAGGACGCAATGTTTTGCTTACATCATCAGCCTAAAGGTGACATGAGTTCACCCCATTAACTGCTCATTATTCACAGCCACTATCATTTTGATTATCTATTCAAAAAAAAGTTTCTAGTTTTTGAGACCAATAAAAATACTGAATTAACGAAAAACCCATCAATTATTTTTTTCGATTTTGAGAAGGAATCCATATTCAAATGTATTATAAACTAAAGACATTTTAACACATTGTAACTTATTTATATAATCTTGTCAGATAGTCGATTAATCGTTATTTTAAACTGTAACTATTATTTGACTATGAGAAACATCAGGTTCCTTAGACGCCCTCTTACCCTTTACTTGAGACGCTGTCCTTCCTGGTTTGATTATCTCTGCGTCGTAACGTAACGTTATCACTTTCTTACAGGCTTGTAGTCGATAAAGTTAACGACCCTGAAAGGCTTTAATCTGGAGGTGTCAACTTTCTCTAAATAAATAAAACTGGAGTCTCCTCCAACGTGAAAACATGTTTTCTGCAGTTTTCGCTTGAATTAACATGCACATTTATTTGTCTGCAGTTTGGACTCTCAGGCAGCTAAATGACAGAAATAAATATAAAAACACAACACTTTGGTGGATGAATAATGCATCGTTGCATATGTGCATATCAATAATTCAAACAAACCACTATATCTACTCAATTATCTTTATTATGAATTATTCACCTGCATGGAGTGCAGACTGGCAATTTGGTGTGAATACAAGAGGCAGGTGGAGGTTTCAGTGATTTTAAAAAGAAAGAAAAAAAAACTGATGTATCTCTGACTTCTAATTGGGCTCCGAGTAAACAGATGGGAGCTGTTTCAGTATGTCAGGTTCAAACACAGTCATAAAGCTACATGCTTTCAGATCTTCACGAACTAAAAGGCTAATTCCACCTCTTTTCTTCTCCTGCAGGACAAAGTGGAAGAGGCAGACGGCGGTGGGACTCGAGCTGCTGGCGGAAGCAGGAAACTACTCCGCCCTGCAGAGGATGTTCCCGTCCCCGTACTTCTACCCTCAGAGTCTTGTGTCCAATCTGGACCCCGGAGCGGCCCTCTACCTGTACAGGGGCCCCTCGGCGCCCCCGCCAGGCCTGCAAAGACCCCTTGTCCCGCGGATCCTGCTGCATGGACTGCAAGGGGGCAGCGAGCCGCCCCCTCCGCCTCCTCTGCCCCCAATGTCCGGCGTGCTTTCTCGGCCAGGTCAGCAGCGGTGAGCCGACCCCCTGCTGATTTCTTGTTTTTTTTTGTTTTTTTTTTACATACGCCCACCCTGGCAGCTTTTGGACTTTTTAGATGAAATGAAACAAAGACACAAACGAAAAAAAAAAAAAACAACAACCCGTGATGAACACGCGTAAAAGAAAAAGGAAAACTGTTGATGGCCTTTTTATGGAACGAAATGACCAACAGACTGAACTCTGTGGACGGAGCTCTGTGACTCTGTGTCATTGTGTGGAAAAGATATTCTTTTGTTATTTTTTGACGGGGTTTTGAGCTTTATTTATTATTTATTTATTTTTCAATTTTAATCAAAGAAACTAAGTTATGTATTTATTTCATCCAAGTTTCAGTATGTTCTGTTTTTCCTCGAACAGACAATTGGTGACACTTTGACCTCTAGTTCAATGAGATCCCCATTATTATTATTATTATCATCATTATTATTATTATTATTATTATTATTTTATACTCGGGAGGAAAAGCTTACATGTAATTTGAATGATACGTAGTTGTAGTAACATTTAGAAAATACTTCCCATGATTTCTATTTCTATACACGTTCACAACAAGTTGATCAGCGGTCATAAACATGTAAATAAGAATATTTTGCATTTTATTCGAAAGAGACTGATTTTAAGGAACTTTTTTTTATTATGATTTGATCTGTATGTGCGTCTTTTTCAGACGACGGTGATCCACTTTAACATATTAGGCTAGATTAGCCATCAGAAACTATACAGGCGAAAAGACTCGGATTGAAATGATGAGAAAAAGAAACATATCTGTGTGATATATAGAGGATGGACTTCCTGCCTGAACCCGGGATAAAGGCACGCGAGCTAAGGGATACAAATCTATATAAAGTCTTTTTCTTGTTCTTAGTTGAAGTTTAGCGGAGTAAAATGTCAAGTCATTTATAAAGAAGCAGTTTTATCCCTGTAGACGGGAAAACAAACACCTCAGTGAAGTTTTATTTCTGATTTCTTTTTGGTCAAATAAACCGGTTGGACTCGGGTCTACATGTATTTGAAACAGACGTTGTGCATTACTTATGTTATTTCATATGAAGCCGTGGTAACCCTTAATTGTTCTACTCTCCTTTGGTGAAAATGTATATTGCAGATATCAAACTTGTGGAGTGGTTCTCGTATATTTCCTGGATCGTTTTTTTATTTTTTATTTTTGTCCCCTCTTCCTCTAGCTTACCCAAACTTCCCCTTCCTCCATATGGTGAATTTTTTGAATGAAATTCACAACAAATGTTTGACAGGAAAAAGGGGGCTATTTGATGTAAAGAGAATTACTTTTATAAATGTGAAAAATAAAAGTCTTTCATTTAATCAGGTGGCTGCTGCTTGGATGTGTGAAACGGAAACGCCAAGGAGGATTTCTGATAGACTCAACATGTGGATTTAAGACGTTCATTTGAAACGTTTTATATGTGGACAAGATGGCAGTAAAACTATGAAAATCTAAATATCCAATTTTATTAGGCGTGCAGAGAGGTGCTGATTCAACTTTTAGTTGTGTCTTATGCTGCAGCCTATCGTCACATTCACGCAAGTGTCTATGCACTTTCAAGCAACGTATTGCACAATATAATAGTCCAGTCTCTGAGGGGATTGGTGTTTTCTTAATATACAGTTAATTAACCAATTCTGAAATAAAAAGTATCCTATAGCTAGGCTTTTTGGTGAGAAATCTTAGTATTTTTAAGATTAGCCTGTGAAACTATACTAAACTAAATGTTAAGTACCTGGAAGGCCTGCTGGAGGTGTGCTGAGAATATGAACACATGTCAGTGAAAATGAGCAGAGGTCGAGGAGATGGTTGGCGCAGCTTTAATTAAACATTTCCTCTCGAAAATAAACAGAATTTTAAAGGGCTCGCGGGTTTCCAATAGAGCAAAACGTGTTGGAATGAATTTGAACATGTCTGTCAGAAACGACTTCTCTTTCCCCTGTTTGGATTACAGTCGTTGATTTAATTTGTTTAATGTTGAAATAAAGGCGCGTTTTAAAGAAAAAAAGAAAAGGTAATAAGGGTGATACCAGGAGCAAGAACTAAAATCTGTTTTCTTAACCTTTTCAAAGGAAGAGCGGAGCCGAAACATATTTAACTGTTCATGTTTTTTCTGTTAATTGCAGAAATATTAGCCTTTAATGGAATTACTTGTGAAATTTTATTTATAGATTTTATGTGTCTCTTTTTAAGTATAATTCCATAATACGCAGATTTGATTTTATACAAAAAGGTGAAAGTTTGAGTTGAAATTAATAAGAAAGGAAGCGCGCGCACATGTACTACCCCCCCCCCCCCCCCTCCCTCCCCCATTCAAACACGCTCAAAAGTGCAATCAAAGATCATTTCCAACTAATGTCTTTAAAGAAGGGCCAACAAAGCAGAAGGGATGTTCTGTCCAAAATGGAGCCCCTGTCCTGATAACCCCCCCCACCCCCCCACCAGGCCCACTTTCCTAAATTAACGGCAGCAACTCCAATTCGTTTTCCATAAACAATGCAGGAGATAAAATATTAATGTTATGTGTGCAATTGTTTAAGTGCCCTAAATGATCCCATTTGGAAATTGATTGTTTCCATCCTTCTCTTCCTTGAGGGTGCTGGATGTGCGCTCCTGTGCCAAACGGCTCCAACAGCTGGTGACCGGGCTGGAGTTGACTGCAGACCGGGGATCAGCAAGGGGACAGCTGGTCAGCGGCTCAACCACCACCCCTCCCTTCCTCCATACAAATTTCACCCAAGCATCAACTTAACCGTCTTTCCCCCCACTCCGAGTCCACGAGGACCCAAGTTATCCGGCCGTGGCGCGTTGGGGGTTAAAGGAGTTCAGAGTGACGGACACGACTTGGCGTGTAGGATGTTAACGATTAGACAAAAGACTTTAATAGGTTTTAATTGAAAGTCGATAATGGGTTTGATAGCCAGCTCCCCCTGCTGTCATCCACGCATGGCACCTGTTATCTGGGGCCTCCACTTAGAGGCTGACCACGCCGTGAAATATCAGACTGACGGCCTGATAACTGGCGCGTTTATGATGCGTAAAATTGCATTAAAAATACAGTGAGCCGGGTGTGGAGGACTGGGAAAGTGAATAAAGGGAGGAAACGAGGAAGGGGGAGAGAAATCAAACACTCCCCAACTTGCCAAAAGATCATTATAGTCCCATCATGAGGATCCGTGACCGATTCAGATAACGACGACCCCCTTTTAATGAAAAGGGGGTTATTCTTGCAAAGTGCACAGCTGATTATATAAGCAAAAGCCCCCGTGTGTCTTGTTGGATGACTCGGAGATTTTTTTTCTCTTTTCTTTGCATGTGAAAGGCTGCTGGTAAATCCCCCGGCTCTTACCACGGATTGTCCCCGGCTCAGGGTTAATGAAGTGCGGATGGAGTCTCGTTGAGCTCCCGACAGACACAAAAAAAGAGAGAGAGAGAAAAGGCTTGGACCCAGAGGATCAGTGACTCTGCTTAATCCCGTGGACTCTTAATAATTATAATAATTCAAACGAAATAAACTAAACAAAAAAAAACCCTTTTGATGAAATTAAGAGTGAATCAAAGCGTCATTTGCATTGTGCTCGTGGTGTGATGCTTTTATATTTGTTTTCATTGCTTTCAGTGGACCAATGAGGCAAATCTGCAGCTGGCATTAACATTGTTTCGATACACTGCCAGCGTTTTGTTGGAAAAAAAATAATCCGCGAGGGAAGATGAAAAATAGATCAATTAAAATATTCAAGTAAATGCATGGCCTATTTTGCAGGTTTTTCCTCCAACAATAGCCTTAAATGAAAAGCACTAATTTTACAGTTTCATGCGCCTTTATGTGGGCTGTTAGAGAAGAAATGATATGAACTTATTCCCTCATGCTTATAGCCTCCATATATCCTACATGTATTTAGGGCATTTTGGTGTAACCTTTGAAGCCATCATAAGCACACAGACGTGAATCAAAACAGAGCAAAGCCACTTTATTACACATAGAAGCCTCATGTGGAATACTCCAAACAAAGTGTTTGACTTTGGTCCTCAAAAAGAAAGAGTTCATGTATGTTCTTCCTCTAAATCCACCCATAAAGGACTTTTTTTTCCTTTAAGAGGACAATACAAGTTGGATCAAAGATTTTAAAAACTGCGTTTTTTAAGGGAGAGAAAAATGTAACATATGCAAATGCTTCTCAATAAAATAGCTGTATGTTTAAAATAGCATCAGGGTTGAGACTATGAGGTGAAAATGTAAATTTAAGCTTCCGTTGGATGCCCTGATGTTTGCTTTGTGCAGTGTGCAGCAGAAAGGGGAAAATAGGCCATATCCCTCATATTAAAATATAAAATTTAAAGGTCACAAAGCTTCATTCCCCTATCCAAAAACTCTCTGGCTCTATAGCTGAAAATAAGGAAGAGAAAAAGGGAAGCAAGGTTGGTGTTAAAATGAATCTGAGTCTGCAATGAACAGAGACATTTAGAGAGATGAAGAACATGATGAAGTATCAGCAAGTGTAAAAAGGGGAGATGAGTGTGGCGGAGTGAAAGGAGAGCAAGCAGCCTCCTGGTTAGAGATCCGATCCTTGCCTGGAGGTACGGGGGGCCGAGAGGAGGAATGAAAGCCTCGGAGTGGAGGGGAGATAACCCCACTAATCATTTCCCCAATATGACGGGAAGGAACTACAAACTTGGGTCAGGGGCGCAGGGATTGACATCCCAATCTCAGCAAATAATGAAAGCTTTCCTCTCGGATCAGAAGGAGGGTTTAGGAGAGGAAGACAGGAGAGGAGAGCGAGAGGAGAGGGATAGACTCGGGGTAGAGAGAGGTGGGGCTGCTGCCTCACAACCACACACAGAGCCAGCACTTGAAACCTCTCTTTTCTACTGGACTGTGAATATGCCAAAAGACTTACTGAAGTAAGCATATGCAACAGCTTGGATATGACCCTCTCAGGCACCCTTACTACCACCCAAAATGTCAGCGACATTGAATAAAGTAATTACAGATGGCCATCCCTGCTTAGAGGAAAGTTCTCCAAAAACAATAACATTTTCTCCTGTTCCAATTGTTATCAACCAAAGTCTAAATTATCAAATCAAATCTTGAATTGTATTTTAGTAAAAGCTAACTTTACTGGTGAAAGTGTGTAAATCACTCAGCCGGCAAAGCCAACCTAAGCTAACATTATGCTAGCTGAGGCAGGCTAACAGTGAAGCTGTGTTGAAGCCAAATTAGCAGAATGGCATCAACATAAACAATGTAAGATGTTTACACCCCAGTTGCTTCCCTATCAGGTGTCTATAAAGTTACAGTTATTGTTTCTGTCTTAGTAGAGGCATAGCTTAAATGTTTCAAAATATGCTCAATTAACAATACACATCAGATAAATCTGCTTTTATTAGAGTATAATATTATAATATCAGGTTTTTAACTGCCAGTGAAGGTTGCTAACAAACATTTTCTGACACTTAGTTTTTATTGACTATTGAGAAATGTCGTCTCTGACATTTATTCACAATATCACCAACTCAGAATTGTAACAAGGGGGACGATATGGACAGATTTCCCTGACTGTTGGGGCTTTTATTTGTCCGAGCTTTTAGAAAACTTTCACAAACAAACAGGATCAACCAGCATGTTTACATCATTCTATATGATCTATTCCTAAAGATGGAAGCCTGATCATATCTGTCGAGGTACCTGATAATGACAGGAGAGCGTGGAATATTTAAGACAGACGTCCTAAATATAAGTTCTGAAATTAGAAATGTATTCATGATGAGATATAAAAGGGTTTTCTTGAGTTTAAAGATAGACAGATTCAGTCACTATAATCCCACAGGGAAAGATATATTTTCAAACCCAGACTGAGAAATTAAGAGCAAATAAAAGCACAACAACTCGTTCATTAACAAACTCTTGATTTCTCTTTGATACAACTTGCCTCCACTTTTCCCAGGCAGTGATAGAAGCTGTGTCGCTCGCAGCGGGGGGGTCGTGTAAACCACATTACTATCAGATGACACAGAGATTATTCAATCAATATCTTGTTGTGTTACGGCAGACTTCCCCGGCTGCCACCCTGCGCTCTCAGCAGCCACCTCATCCAGACAACACAGCAGAGAGGGAAAAAACACACCCTGAGGCCCTGACCCCCACCGGCCAACCAGCCCTGAAAATACCTCTGGGAGCAGACGACAGCATGAAGCGATGAGTATATCTCACACTGATCTGTGTCTGCCTCCCAGACAAATACCATCCACAATAGACGGCCATAAAACCACAGCCGTCATGTTTATCCTACAGTTTGTTTGTGGATGAAAGGTTATTCATCTG